ATTTCAATTTCTTGCAACCTGTTATATCTGATCTCTCTATATCGACTTCTTTGTACCATTTTACGAAGGTACAGTTGTGTGTGGTAGACGCTTTTTCTGTGTAGATCCTCATTACAAAAAACATTGCGACAAATGCATACCACGTACTTCCTGACTGTGCCCTCACAACAACATTACTATACACTGCTCTCCCGTGAAAGTTGGGTGAAGCCCTCGCTGTTTGGACAAGTGCACCCCTGCTTGTTCCATCGTCAGTTGCTGCGATTGCAAAATGAGTTCTTGTGTGTATGAACATGTCGTCATTCGGTGGATTGCACCCGTTTTCTGACATGTACGTCTGAAGAGCACCTCGAAAATACGCCTTGCACGGGAGGTCGTTCAGTATCGCAACCCGTTCCCGTTGCTCCGGGGTTTTCATGTAATCCAATGTTCTCGTCGGAGAAAAGTCGAAGTTGCAAGTTTGTTGTGTCACGTGCGGCTAGTGTATTCATTCCGCATGCCGAGCACTCCATAACCGACGACCAATTATCCGTCGTCCTCTTCCTTTGTTTCCTTGCACATTCCACATCGTCGTGAAATGCGACAGACCGTCGAACATGATTTACCATTTGAAAGGAAGGTTTACGCTTGTTCGACGACTGGTAAGGCTGCTTGCAAAACTTCTGGTGGTGGTGCTCCCATTCATCGGCCGGAAAATTGTCAGGGAGACCTGACCGTTCGATGCACGCCCTAAAATGAAGAAGGTCATGTAACTTTGACAGTTTCCAGTTCGAGGTTTGGTAATGACCCAACACCTGTTTGAGGGTTGTTATGAAGTCTGTGATGAGATTGTCATATGTGTCAAGCGGATTTGTCGAATGCTTTGTGCACCGAAACATCAAAATGTACAATTCCATTAGTTTTCTGAAACAATTTGTTGTTCGCTTCCCTGCCGTACTAGAAATTATATTGCGCACTATGAATACGCACACTGTCATGACCGACCGGTTCTGCTTTGCTTCAAAATGCCCCTCACGTGAAAATTAGTCACTACCTGTTGCAACAGGCAGCACAAGTTGCAGATATGTGGTATTGCTTCTCTCGCTCAGCATTTGCAACCTCGCATCCAACTCCTTCAACACACCACTTTGTGCGACGTTGCTCAACTTATCGCATGCAGCTGCTTTGAATGCGTCTAACATGTGCAAGAAAATGCCGTACTCGATTGTGTGCATGCGGTCTGGTTGCAAAGCCAAGAAGTAGTCCAACATGGGATCGTCGTCATCAGGACCCTTGTAAAATCCCCACAGACCATTCTTTTTCACATGCGTGTGTATGTTCAAGTCCGACAATCGTGTTTTTGTTAGTCGGCGAACGTCGTCATTGTTTGTTGAATGAAATTGGGTAATAAGCTGAGCCTCCATTGTTTGAGATCTTCGACAGTTAGTGAAGTATGCGATGACGTCCAAATCTGATTTAGAGACAGTGCATGTCGCACATACGCCGTATTTCACCGTTGCGATGACACATCTCTCAGGGTAGTCTTGAATGTAACTCAAGAGGAAAGGGTGCACTGTTATCTCTCCCCACCGTTCATCATTATAAACAAATCCGTCATGCGACGCTTGCTTTGCAGCTTGCAACAGGACAGAAAGTGCTGAGTGTAATATGACGGCTTTGCGTTTTCTGAACGCGGAGCTTTGCAAAGCCCAACCTTTGTCACGTGGGCAGTGATAGAGGACAGGGAGATATGCAAGAAGTGTCGCATCATGTGCATGGTCACCTATTGACATCATTAATGGATATGCCGACTGTTTCTGTCGTCCATCTACATGTGTTTTGTCAGAATACAGACAAATAGGCACCACGTACCGTGTGTTGCCATTTTTATCTACACCCTTTTCTGCTCTGATGACTGTCTATACGTGATGCCACAAGGTACCTGACCGAGCACTGTTGATTGTTTGCTGTACTTCGGGGTGCTGCACCTCAAGGCACGACACCGTCTGCATACTTTTCATCATTGCTTTGAGCAATGACGTGAACGTTGTGTGCCAATTTTGGTACCACATGATGACATGTGCATCTGATGGCCAGTCATCACTCCTAGGATCTATCTCCTGCCACCCGTTCGTCTCTGCCTGGCTGTTCATCCACCGTAAAAAGTCACGGCTATTACGATACACGATTTCCTGTGGCGAGAATCTTGGATCTCTAAGAACTGACAAAAGAGCATCGATGTCGTTCAGCGACATCCCTAAGCCACCCCTGGAGGACAACATGATTGCAGCGAGCCTATGGACGCACATCAGGTGGATCTTCTTCTTCAGAACCACAATCAAGTTCCGCATTCACTTCTTCATTGACAATGTTGTTACCCCCCCCACTGTCATCCAGTGCAGCGTCCTCCCGTGCGGGGCTATCGTCCCATGCGTGTCCGTCGGCATCATTCATTCTACGAGTCGTGGACGAGGGACACGCTCTCGTTTTGTGCGAGTTCAATGTCCTTAATGACATAAAAGGACGACCGCATTCACACACCATCCGCTCGTCCATCGTGTGCACTGTCTTTCTTAAAGGATATAAGATCTCGTCACACCCGTAACGTGAAACGCGTTTCAAGTCAAAATAACGTGAGACTTATTACTTGTCGTCGCTCCTCCTTCCGTTTATTTTGTGTTTCACAACACACACGATAAGAAAAGACACGTTCAACATTTCATACACACAACTCCTCCACGTCCATGATTCGTTGTTTATTCATACACACAACTCACTGTAATAAATTTTTGTTTTTATTTTATTTTATTTTTTTGTTTTTCCAATGTTTTCTCCAAGTGTTCAGTCTTTCTTGCGTAACATGTCCCTGCTGTACGGAACACCATACCACCAACATGAAAGAGAGAGAGAGAGAGAGAGAGAGAGAGAGAGAGAGAGAGAGAGAGAGAGAGAGAGAGAGAGAGAGAGA